TAAAAGTCTCGGTTCAAACTGTTCTTTTCATTTGTTGGTGAATTAAATTGTCGATTTGTAGGTTATTTATTTAAAGGTCATGAATGGCATTTGAAGAAGATATAGTGATCATAGAGAGATAGCTTTCTTTGTAGAGATGCAACTTGGGTTGGACAACCCGAGCTCAGCTCAATTTTTTCCAAGCTTGGGCAATTATTTTTACAATTAGGATTGGACTTGGGTTGAGATGCTAGCAACTCGAGTAAACCCGAACCTGAATTCTAATATTATTTTCATATATATTTTTAATTTTAAATACATTATATATAATACTTAAACTATGATTACCTTCTTCTTTTTTCCAACTTCCTTTGTTAAATCTTAACTTATTGTAGGTTAACATTTAGGATAATTAATTTTCTAAGAATTTGTTTGTAATTTATTAAAAATTTACAAAAAGTTTTTTTTTTTTTTTTTTTTTTTAAGAGAGTAATTTAATCAAAAACTAATTCAATATCATATTAAAATTTTGGTGTGAAGATTAGCCATATGAGTAATCCGAATTAACCCAAAATATAAGCCCGAGTTGTAAGCCCGAATTTAAAAGTAGAAGGATAGGCTACGCTCGGGTTAAGTAGTTAGAGTTAAAGATAAGGTTACATTTCATATGGTGGGTTAGATTCAAGTTATACCTCAAACCCGCCCAACCTACCCGAGTTGCAGCCCTATTTCTTCGTCTTGAGAATTTTCTTGCTAACTTTAATTGAGAAATTGCAAATTCAAAGCGGTTGGATTTAGATAAGCATGATAAATGAAGTTAGGATGTCAAAAATTATTGGATGGTCCAGGTCTATAGACACTTGGTGGACCAATTCAATTCAGGCTCTTCGATTGAAAAAATGACCCAACAAAAGTATATTAATCTATTACAAAGAAATCTCAACAATGATCTTGATTTAACTAGGTCACCACATGTCAAATGGACCTGAAACATCTAATAATTTCTCAATGTCATGGGGTTAAGAAATTATTAGGTAGTCACTGTACCACTACATCATTTATGGTCCTAAGCAATCCTAGCCGTCCATCTAAAAAAAAAAATCGAAAATATTACACACCAACAAAACCTTTACACATCAGCCTTTCCATCTTCTTTCTCCTCCTAACTTATCTTCACCGGCCTTCTTCACGTCACCAACGACAACGATAGGATGTCTTTGCCAGCCACACCACTGATCTTCACTTGCCTTCTTCACATCAAGTGCGTTTTATCAACCGAACGCCGGGGCGAACAACCAAACACCATCTCCTCCGTCGTCGACATATCGACGCCGCCTTTCACCGACACCTCCATCCTCCAAGAACCCCTCAATTGTTTTAAAGATCTCCTCAACTGTTTTATCGGCCATATTCGCCCGTTCAAGAACAGCTCGTCGACGGAGCTCAACGATACAGGGCGTCAATTCCCATAGAGAATCTTTGATGCAGAGAATTGTCGATTGAACTATACTAAAATCCTTAGATTCTCGTCTCGCCTTGGTAAGGAAAAGGATGGTGGTGTCGCTTCATATATCAGCGGTGTAGATAGAGAAAAAGGTTGATGTGTAAAGGTTTTGCTAAAGTGTAATCTTTTTGGGCAAATTTTTTTAGATGGACGGCTAAGATTGCCCAGGACCAAAAATGACATGATAGTCCCGAGACTACCTAATTTATTATAATTTCTTGGTGGTCCATTGTAATACCCCTAATTTTAAAATGATAGTCTCGGTATTTATTTATTTGTTTTAATTATATTTTTTAATTATTTAATTAATCATTTGACTAATTGCTTATGTGTTTAATTGAATTAGGTATTACTTGATTATTTGATTATGTGTCTATGTATTATTTGTATTTGTCTATGTGTTAATTGTTTAATTAGATTATGTGCTTAAATGGTGTTTTGATAAATTGTAAATTAAACGTTTTCTTTTCTTTTATTATTTTATTTTATTTTTCTTTTATGGTTATAGTTAGTAGTAATGGGCCAACCAATTGGGTCCCATAGACTACTTGGATAAGAGGTTGAATGTGTATGAATTATTACCCATGGATAATGTATGTATACATATAGATATATATTATATACATATATAAAAAGGAAAGTAATTTATTAATTATTTTTATGGTAACTTGGGTAGTAATATTTAATCTGATGTATATGTTTTATATTTAAATAATAAAAATATACATAGATTTGATACGTGTTATATTTTAAGTTACTTTATAATATTATGGTAACTTAAGTATTATGGGATAATCCATTAATAAATAATGGAATATGTATAATTTATTTATTTAATAAACATATACATAAATTATATACGTAACATATTTTACTTACCTTTTTTAATATATATATAAAAGAAAAAGTAATTTATTAATTACTTTTATGGTAATTTGGGTAGTAATATTTAATCTGATGTATATGTTTATTTAAATAATAAAAAAAATACATAGATTTGATACGTGTTATGTTTTAAGTTACTTTATAATATTATGGTAACTTAAATATTATTGGATAATCCATTAATAAATAATGGAATGTGTATAATTTATTTATTTAATAAACATATACATAAATTATATACGTAACATATTTTGCTTACCTTTTTAATATTTTTATTTTTAATTTTTTTTTAGTTGACTTGGATTGGGAAAAGGGTTAGGGTTATTTTATTTAGCCTATAAATATATAGCTATATGTTGTAAAAGGAGGTTAGAAATATTCACGTGATATATACTAGAGAGATAGTGTTAGAGAGGGAAGGAGGAAAAGGAAGGAATAAGGAGAAAAATCCTGTAGAGAGAAGATCAAGGAAGAAGAAGTTTAACTTTCGATCCAAAAGTTTAAGGCAAGTGCTTCTTCTATCTCTTTCCCTTTGATTCGTGTTTCTGTACATGCCTAGGAAATTTCAGGATTTATTAAACACATAAAATTAAATAATTATACATGTTTAATTGGGTTAGAACATAAGTTTTATGAAATTGGTTCATATCTGTTCTTGTGTTATGAGTTGATAAAATGCATTATTTTGATTTAATTTCTTATGTGAATTTTTACATGTTTAAATTATGTATTTTTCATATCTGTGTAATGATGGAACGTAGAAACATGCCTAGGATTCCTGAACATTAAATAGGGACTAGGTTTGGGTTTTAATAAATTTAAATAGACTCAATCATAATGATGCTTGCTATTTGAATGTTTTAAACAAACGAATGGATTTAATCTTTTAAAATATTTTAGCAATTGAGATTAAATGTGTAGGATGAATTGGATATAGAGAATTCTTATTTAACGGTATAATAAAATATCATCATGTATAAGATTCAATTTGTGTAGCACATATGATATAGGAAGTTTAAAGAAATAATAAGTCATTCCTATTATGTGATAACTTGATATCATATTTATCATAGTTATTTATAGAATGTTTGATATATTTCCTTAATTGTTACATCAATTGTTGGATTGTGTGGTTTAATGCACCGGTATGGGACGGTGGCATTCTAGGGATGGATTAACTTATCAGTTAAGTCCTACCTATTTTATATAAGGGAATGGATTAACTAAAATGTTAAGTCCTACTTATATTTAAGTCAGGTCAGCTGAACAAGTTGAATGACTTATGGAGGATTAATTTATTATATAAGGGAATGGATTAACTAAAATGTTAAGTCCTACTTATATTCAAGTCAGGTCAGCTGAACAAGTTGAATGACTTATGGAGGATTAATTTATACTAGATAGGATGGTTACTAGATTTTATATATATAAGTATGGTGCCATGATATGAGCTTAAGTCTCAGGATCAATGATTAGGGCTCGTATATCGTCAGGGATGTGTAGCTAGATATAGTGTAGTTGTGTACCCTGGTAGGTCTAGGTACTTATGCCCACTATATGTGCGTTTTGCATGTTGCCTACTATTCAGGTTGAGACAACCCTATAGTCTAGTGAGGTTCATTTAGTGTGTGTATATATATATACGGACTACTAGTTATTGTTAGATTGACTAGGATGTATACGTGTATCGAATCTCTGCTTGGACTGTAGTACAGTAAAACTTGTTTGTGGGCCTGACCCACCATTATTTTTCAGGTGTTCGTCACGAGTAGAGGTTGTTCGTGCTGAGCGGGGATCAGTCTACTTCATTCTTCCGATGCTACATAGGAGTTCCTTTATGATTCAGTTTCCTGTTTTAGATTACTGTCATTTGTTTAGTTTGGATTTTCTATGGGTCCACACAGTATGGATTCCCGAGTTGTATTTTGGAAGATCAGTTGTATCAGAAGAGTTTATTAATTAATGGAAATATATTATGAGGTTTATTATTAGATTATCATTTTAGTTTCTTGTCAGCATTTTATTTATTCTTCTTTATTCTTTTGTACTCTGTGTTTGTTTATTATCAATTTGTTTTGATATCCTCGGGTATTCGGGCGTGGGCCTGGCCAACCCGCATTCGGAAATCCGAGGGGTATCACATCCATGGGGTCAGACAAAGTGGTCCGACTATGAGCATCCGCACCAGCCTCTCCGAATTTTGGCTTTCCAAAAATGCCACTTCAGCTTTTTCAAGAGCCAAATCAACAACTTTTACTTTCCAGAAACAGGCACAAGCTCTCCGGATTTTCGCTCTCTAAAAAACATATATATTATTATTATTTTTTTTTAAAAAAAACTTTTTCCTAACGAGTATATTTCTAACTGTTATATTCCAAAAGCCTATATTTTTTTTTATCTTATATAATTTATACTCATTTGCTCATCTGAAAAATCATCACTACATTTATCTCTCTCCATTGTAACAAAATATCATTAACATTCTTTTTCAATTTTGAAATTCCAATGGCTTCTACATCACAACCTTTTTCCTTTGGCATACTATAATTCTTCATCTTCCTCATCACACTCTTCGAAAGATGACTCTATTGCAGCGTTGATTCAACATGATCAAGACGAATTCTATGAGACTATGAATTCAGTGAGGCTAGAGATAGTTGAGCAAGTATTTCAAGTCCTTAATAAGAAGCGTTACATTCATCGTAACCAAAAGGGAAGCCACTATCAGCTAATCAAAGACTACTTCGACGAGAGTTGCACATATCCACCAGAGTACTTTCACAAACGATTCAGGATGCAACAAGAACTTTTTCTTCGTATCCTTAATGATGTCAAAGCTTATGATGATTACTTTGTCCAAAAAAAGGATGCGACTGGTCGTTTGGGGTTGTCTTCTATAAATAAGATGAAAATTGTTGTTCGTATACTCGTATATGGTTGTGCAGTAAATCATTATGATGAGTATATTAAAATCGGTAAGAGCACTGCCATTAAATGTTTGAAGGCATTTTATAATGCTATTATTGTTATGTATGCAGATAAATATGCGCCCACCCAACGAAGCCGACGTAGTACGATTACTTTAAGAAGGAGAGCATAAAAGATTCTTGGGTATGCTTGGTTTTATCAACTGTGTGCACTGGGAGTAGAATAATTGCCCAGTGGAGTGGCATGGTGTGATACCCCTCAAATCTGAGACACGGGTTGATCAGGTCCAGGCCCAAACTCGAGAGAATATCAAACAATTAATATTTAAAAACGAACATGGAATACAAAATGAAATAAGAAATAATTAACAGTTGGAAGAAACTAAAATAAAATCATTTAAAAATAAATACTTAAATTCGGTAATCCAACCTTCAGTAGTTTATACAACTAGAGAATCCATCTCTAGTGGACCTCTAATAAAAATCCAAACTAAAATGAAACTACTCAAAGAACATCCAGAGTAAACTATGGAGAGAAATCCTACGTCGTCGGAAGAGTGAGTAGTAGTCTCTGCTCAGCACGATTAAGTCTAAATTTAGAACTGACGAGTACCTGAAAAATAGAAGTGGGTCAGACCCACAAACAAGTTCTAACCTACTACAATCCAAGCAGAGACTCGATACGCATATACATCCTAAGCAACTCAACAATAGCTAATAGCCCGTACGTAAGTATATCCACACTACAGAACTCTCACTAGACTATGAGAGGGTCTCAACCTGAATAGAAAGCAACATGCGAAAACGCACCCAAAGGTGTGCATGAGTACCTAGACCTAACAGGGTATACCTCAATCTCTCGTATCCAGCTACGCATCCTACTGCATATACGCTCCCTAATCGACGAATCTGAGGCTCAAGCTCAGATCACGGTACCATAAACATATATTTAAAGTCCGTCCTATCTATCCAAAGTAAGTCCAGTTAGTCATTCAGCTTGTGCAGCTTCTTTAACTTAACATATATAGCAAGTAATCCAATTAGTCATTCAACTTATGCAGCTTCTTTGACTTAAATATAAGTAGAATTTTATTTATATAATCCGTTCCCTTATTCCGATATAGGTAGGACTTAGCGTTTCAAGCTAGTCCAAACCTAATACGCCAGCGTCCCATACCGGTGCATACATTCCATACCATCCAGCAGTTGATAATACTAATAACGAATGTAAATACCAACTAGTCCATAACAAATATAACAAGAATCCATCACAAGTATGATAGGAATCTGTATATGACATGCTTGTTCTGTACTACCGATACATGATTCTCCAATAAGTTTAAAACATAGAGAATAGGTATACTCCATCCTGTAATCCACTATGAGCATAATAATAATAATATCATAATTAACATGCTCACTTTAAACTATTCCACGTTATCCAGTGAGTTGAGAAAATACAATGCCATTTACGTTTGGTTTAGTACAAAGGAAAGGAAATTGCTTTTCATGTACAAGACCGACAAATGTTATTAATAATTGAAGATATTATTCTTTAATTATTGTTTTTAATCTCTCTTGCTTCATGTACCAAAAGAAGAGTGTTTTTCCTATATACTCAAGTAGGATTGATTGTTTTTATATTTGTCAAAAAACAATGTCAAGCTATTTAAGTAAAAAGGCTATTTATTTATTTTAAGTAAAAAGACACACCTACGATATTCTTGTGAAGATTCTCGACCACCTTTTATTAAAAGCAAGAAAGTAACGGCTACAACGTTTTTAACGCTTGAGTAATTTTCAAGAACCTGAATATGCATCAATTATATCCAAGTTCATTTCTAATGTAGGAGCACAAATCAAAAGTCTCGTATAATAAAAAAAATTATTTTTATTTTTTAAAATCACTATGATAATGAACAATACTTGCTATAAAGCTAGCTGTGAGTATAAAGCAGCAAAGTCAAGAGGCTCTAGAGAATCTGAAGGAAAAAGGTTTAGGCCCCTTTTTGTTTCAAAAGCAATACGATTATCAAAAGCACTGAAGGAAAGTCATGGCAAAGCATTTATTAATGTACTATTTTGTTTTTTGAATGGATTGATGGTATTATCCACCTCCTCTTTTTTCTAATTATGACTTAAAATTTCAGTTTGCATCTTGTACACACAAATTTTGTAAGTCTACAATAGAAACAAAATATGGAGCAAATAATATAATTTTATTAATTTGAGAAATTGAGGTACAATCCTCTGTAATATTATTTACAAAAGAAAGAACTGGTCCTTTGATTAAATCTCTTTTTTTTTTTTGTTGGTTGGTTGGATCCAAGGGCTGCACGGGCTTGATCTTGAATCACCATGGAATTTGATGAAGAACGACACGTCTTTGGCTGTGCTTGTTGTTGATCACCGTGGAATTTGATGAAGAACAACACTATTTGATGTGCTTAGTGTTATTCGCTTTTGGGTTTGGATGTTAGGGATGAAAGTTTCTGTATTTCTCTCTGAAATTCTAGATTTCTGAATTCTGACTTTGTGTCCCTTCTCCCTTCCTCCAGGCCTCTATTTATAGGCTTCTTGGATTCATAGGATGATGACACGTGTTCTCTCTGATAAGGAAAATATCATAACTGGGCCGGGTCGGATATATTATGATAATTATCCTTAAAAATAATTATTCCAAATATATTTTATTAGGAATAATTATTCTTTTTATTTAACCATCTGGACTGGGCTTAATTAAATAATTTAAGTGGACCAAACTTGGGCCAATTAAATAACTTAATTAAACATTAGGCCCATATTTAATGGGCCTATTTGTCAAAACCAAAGTCCACTAAAATTTTAGTATCTACAAAATGCCCTCACTTCGAGTCCCAAGCTTGACAGGACTTGTCTCCTTTTTCAAGTGGGACTTGAAGTATCCAACTTTCCTTTTTTTTTTTTTTTCCTCCTCCTCCACGCTTGCTAGAGAAACAAATTTTTATTTTTATTTTATTATTATTATTATTTTTTTCCTCTCGTCTCACTGGAGAAACTTTTTTTTTTTTTTTTTTCTCTCTCCAATGCTTTCAGTTCTTGAAGACGTAAGATGGTATTTTCTTCACTTGTAAGACCTTCTTGTATGACAATCCTTAACGAAGGGATCTGTTGTTCCAATGGAAGAACCGCTTATACGTCATAGACCAAAGAATACAGAGTTGCTTGAGTAGGTGTACGATGCGTAGTGCGGTATGCCCACAATGCTTCTTCCATTCGCTCATGCCAATCTCTTTTTGTCTGGTTGACTACTTTCTTCAATAACTCATAAAGAGTTTTATTGAATGCTTCTACGAGACCATTGGCAGGGGCAATGTACATGGAGGACTTACGTTGTTTGAAACCAAATTTCTCACAAAGGTCAGTTATCCAACTATTTTTGAAATTCGTCCCATTATCAGTGATAATGTATCAAGGGACACCATATCGATAGATAATGTTAGACTTGATGAAATCAATCACTGTTTCTTTTTTTACATGTTTATATGGTGCAGCTTCTGCCCATTTAGAAAAATAATCAGTGGCAGCCAAGATATATAAGTGGCCCTTTGAAGACTTGTCTAGAGGACCAACTACATCTAAACCCCATGCATCAAATGGCCATGACGTCATAATAGGGTGCAATGGTTCCGGTGGTTGGTGTATGAAGTTAGCATAGAATTGACAGGCTTGACACCTTTTCGCATACTCCATGCAATCCTTGACCATGGTGGGCCAATAATAACCCATTCTTTTGACACGAAAGTGAAGTTTTGGTCCAGACTGATGGGCTCTACAAATTCCAGAATGTGCTTCTTTCATTGCATAGGTGGCTTCATTATTTGCGAGGCAGCAAAGGAAAAGGCCCTCATATGAACGCCTATACAACATATCATTGTAATAGATGAATCGAGGTGCTTGTCTTCGTATTTCAGTCTTATGGCGTTAATCTTCAGGAAGCTTTCCATATTCCAGATAATCAATGATAGGGAGTCTCCAGTCTTCTTCCTCTTGTGTCCAACAAGAAACCAAATTACTTTCTTCAAATTTATCTTCCAAGACTTGTGGCAAGACCCATCGTTGACATACAGGAACATCAACCAAGTCCTCAGCAATTAATGCCAATGTTGTAGCTAAATTTGCCAAAGCATCAGCTATCCGATTTTCTTTCCTCGGAATGTGTTTTAGCATGACGCTATCAAATCGTTCCAACAAATGAGAGGCATAACGATAGTACGGCACTAGATCATCTTTTTTAACCTCATATTCTTGAAGAAGTTGGTTAATCACCAGCTTAGAGTCTCCATATATTTCGAGATCCATGATCTTCATCTCATTTGCCATTTGAAGGCCAATAATCAAGGCTTGATATTCAGCTACATTATTTGAGCAGTTTTCAGCGAGTGCAAAAGAGTACGGAATAACATGTCTTTTTGGAGAGACAAACACTACTCTAGCTCCGACCCCGTCTACTCGTGCTGCCCCATCGAAAAACATCATCCATGGAGGGAGGATGTCCATAAGGAAGATTTCTTCATCAGGAAAATCTTCAGAAATTTCCCAATTGACTGGAATAGGATGGTCAGCTAAGAAATCTACCAGGACTTGTCATTTTACTGCTTTTCGTGGCACATAAACAATTTCAAATTCGTTAAACAAAATTGACCCACCTCGCCAAACGTTCGGAAAGGACCGGTTTAGACATGACATATTTGAGAGGATCAGCCCTTGCAACAAGATGTATCGTATGAGCCAAGAAATAATGCCTCAATTTCTTAGAGGCGAAGACAAATGCGAGGCATGTTTTTTCAATTGGAGGATAATTTCGTTCCGTTGAGGTGAGTTTGCGACTTAAGTAATATAATGCATTTTCTTTATATTCTTCATTATTCTGAACAAGTAAGGCACCCAACGATTCTTCTTGTGCAGCAATGTAAAATATGAGCGGCTTTCCAGGTACAAGTGCTCCCAATATATGAGAATTGAGAAGGTACTTTTTGATGCTATCAAAAGTATTTTGGCAAGATTGGTCCTAGATGAATGGGGCGTCTTTTTTCATGAGTCGGTTAAAAGGCTAATAACGGCCAGCCAAATTTGAGATGAACCTACGAATGAACGCAAGTTGACCTTGTAAACTTCGA